GGATTCCCAGAGAGTAATCCAATTGTTTGAGGTGTCCTGAGGGATGACCCAAAAGTTGCAGCAAGTTCAAGTTTTAAACTGGTGTCATTTTTGGATTTTATTAGTGCAAAAAGTGTTTGGCATCACTTTATTTCAAATGACAAAACCCCCTTGCTAAAACAGCTGTGTTGCCATACTGCAACTCCCACAGGGGGGTGCAGTTACTACTGCACGATTTCTTACCACAAAAAACCGAAGTACAATGCACAACATTGCTTCTTTAATAGAAGGGCAGCCTATTTGAAGCACCCACTAATCTGATATGTTCGACCCTGTGCCACTCGCTCCACCGGTCACCCACAATTTAAGTTTAATTATAGATTAACATGGTTCAGTGACACATTCATTACTTGGTATGAAGTTGGGCCATCAAATCAAAGCTCGGTCCTAAAAGTCTGTAAAAAAAGAAAAAGATTTAAAATGAAGAGCAAATGTGGCAAAATTTAAGAATGAAAATAAAACATCACAGTGAATAAATTAATTAAGAAGAAGCCAAGTGTGAAACTGGGAACGCCAGTCATACCTAAATCAGCTCTTTGTGGGAATGACCCATCTTAATACTGGGAGACAAAAGGAGCAGGGAAGCAAATACATGCACATGCATGACCTTCAATAGGTGGAGAAGGTTTAAAAGGCTACTTTAAACATGTCTGCCAGCAAGATCTGCATCGCTTCATCTCTGGTTCTAAAAAACCTAAATGTGGATCATGTTACTACAATTAAATCATTGGGTGGGTAAACCAAATTGGAGTTAACCAAACATGTAAGTGCTTTTCTCCAAAAATAGTGTTTCGTTGCATATCTGCGCAAACAAAAAGAAAAAGTGAGATGTTTTCAAAATAACACAAACTGAAGGCAGCAGTGAGCAAATATATATAACAAAATATATAATGGGAGGACCCCTCCTTGAATCGCTACCTTATCGTGGTGGAGGGGTTTGTGTGTCCCAGGGATCCCAGGGGCTATGTTGTCTGGGGGCTTTTGCCCCCTGGTAGGGTCTCCCATGGCAAATTGGTCCTGGGTGAGGGACCAGACAAAGAGCGATTCATAAGACCCTTATGAAAAGGACACCGAGGGAACAGTTTACCCTGCCCAGGTAAAGCGGATGAAGATGGATGGATGGATATAATGGGAGGAATTCAGTTAATAACTGAAGGGGATAAGAGAGCAAGACATCCATATAAACATCTGCATAATGCCTCAAGCCTTCTGCAACACTAACATACACTTTCACTGCTGGTAGCTCCTGCAGCAGAAGTGTAACGCATAACCACGTCTCTCAGCCCACACGGGTTTTCCAGCCTTGCAGTCCTCTAAAGCACGCACATGTAGCAGCTCACAGCACCCCAGGAGTCAGCCTTTCCTCCATTGAGAACCACTGCACTTCTTTCCAGCTCACACAGGAAAGAAATACAGCAAGTCATGCTTTCTTCTGAGTCCCGTCTGCAATGAGACAATTTGCTCCTGATGTGCTGAGAACTGAACTCAGAGTCTATGTTCCTGTGATTTGTGTGTGTAAGTGCACTTGGCTGCACTGTTCACCACCATTTGTTCACATTTGAGAATGAGAAAAACTATTCTTCACATGCAGCTGAGGTGAATCTAAAATCTTTTGTGCAATGTGTCAGCTCAGAGGCAAGGTCAGAATATCAGCACACGTCTGCACAGAAATAAAAAGATAAGGAGTTTTATTTACATTACAGGTTAAGATTTTTAAAAATATCTTCTGCTTTTCTGTTTTTTTCTACAGTTTTAAACTCGCCGAGGTCTCACATTTATTCTGAGAAATAGAGAAGATGTTCAGCAGGTTATCCCGTTAATACACACCAGCCTGAGAACCTGAAGCCAAATAATCCAGCAGACCGACTGGTAAACTAAGACTTCAGGCTGCAATCACTACAAGCAGAGAAACTGTCACAAGAGAGAGTCGGCACACTTTTAGATTCAGGGTTGGTAACTAAATTTTATTTAAAGACAAAAAAGAAAAGACATTTCTTGTAGAAACAGAAAAGCGTGACTGTCAAATCTAAAGGGTTTTTTTTGTTGCTCAGCAGGTAACATGGAAAAATGAAAACACCACAAGATGGCAATCACAGTCCTCCACAAACGCCGCACAAGCCTAAATCAATTTTAAAAGAAATACTATGATATTAAGATGAGGCAACATCTGCTAATACTTTCGTGAGAAAAAAGTGAAAAAAAACAAAACAGCTGACAAGTAGATTTGAGATCAAGACAAAACAGGAAAAGGAAAGAGTCCAGAAAATACAAGCAGCATCCAATAAAAGCAAAAGTTTTAGAAAGTACAGCAAAGTTGTAGCAAAGCAGCAGGAAGAAAAATCACAAGGGGCAAAACAGAGACACGAGGAGACCGACAGGGAGGTGCAGAACTATGATTGGCTAACAAGTCACAGGTGAGTTTACAGGAAGCAGAACCAACTGAGACACACGAGCACGTAGCAAACAAAATAAATAGTAAATAAGAACAACGAGCGACACAAAGCTCACACAGACAACAGGGAGGGAAACACAGGAGATATGGTTTAAAAACAAACGTGTTTCATGATAAATCCTCACATATCAATAAAAGACGCAGCAATAACTGTGACTGACTACGACCATCGTCACAAAAATCATGATAACGTTTATCTCACTTAATTGGTCGCTTTAGGCTTCAAAGATAAAGAATCTAAGGGCAAGGCAGCCAGGAAGGCCGCCGTTAACGATGCTTCTGCAGGTTAGATCTTGTTGCTCAATAACTTTTTCTCAATGATTCAGACTCGAGCCGAATCAAACATGCCAGAGCCTGGGGAAGAAAGTTTGGGCTTTTAACTGCAACGCTTTCTCAGTGTGTACGCAGCAAAACAGCACTCTCTTCCATCTGCCATCTACAGGGGAGCATACTGTGTGCTGCACACACGTTTCATCATCAGAGTCCAAAGAACAAAACAGAAATAAAATACAAAGTGGGGAATTTGCATTAATAGAAGCTGAGACAGATTAACACTTTCTTAACATATTAGCACAATGAAAGGAAGACATGCAGGAGAGGTCCACAGCAAGATTCAAACCAGTAACTTCATAGTTCACTTATTTGACCAACACATTAAACCCACAAACCACAAAGAAACCCAGATAAGAGACGTGACCCTGTTAGACTTAGTAGAGCAATCCCTTGATGAGGCAACAGTCAAGCTGTGGGAGCTGAAGCAGCGCAAGCAGGCGGGTGGTGGTGGTTTTAATGCAGCACAGCAGCTACCAAAGCAGAAATACAGGTTTTTATTGTTGGGCTATCAAGCCGACCGCATTTGGTCCAATTTGATCTCAAGAGAGCCACACCAGTAAATTATAAATAAATCCATCTATAGATATACAAAAGCAATAAATGCTATTTTTCATACACACTTAATCTTCTCTCATTATATTTGCATTCAATTATATGGTTCACAAATAGACCTTTAAAAAAAGCATAACAACACATAAAATCATAATTTGTTAGTTCTTAATAATCCAAAACAACAAATGAATGCTGTATGTACATGGATTTCCACTGGAAAGGCATTTTATTGATAAAATCGGAGGTTATTATTCATTTCTCTGCAGGGAAGTTCGGCCTCAGTCACACAGGTCTAAAGATTAGATGACAACAAAAAAATGGGTGGCAAGTTTCACCTTTCAAAACACGTTGGCTGCAGCATTGAGGCACTTTTACTTTGAAACAAGTGTGCGTCACACTTTTTCTAGTTTCACTATTACGTGGTTGATTAGTTGGTGGGGGCAAGTTTCTGTTTTCAGTGCAAACTATGGGCAACCAAGCAAACTGCTGGCACCCAAAGCAATTGCAAGGTTTTGTTGTGCAGCACCCTCTTGGGGACTGATTTTAGCTAGCACCATTCAGCAACAGACAGCAACCGCTCTCCAACTGGTTGGGGAATAGCCAATTTTCCTAGCGACCAGTGGTTGCCAGGGGAGTGCAGACTTAACAAATTCTGGCATCTCAGGGCTTCCATAAATTTGTTGACCGTCGCTTTGAACATTTTTAGAAAACATCCACATGACTATATGGGGTGTTGTGTGACGGTTCCTGAGGCTATGTTTTACTGCGCAGACCATCTGTGTTCTGCCCCCCCCCCCACACACACACACTTCCACCATCACAGACAATGACATTTAAGAGTCAGCAGCTGGGCGAGATCGGGGCGATATCACTCAACCATTAGCCCGTTCATCCTCATCCTCTAATCCCACCCCTGCGCCCCGACGTCACAGCATCAAACACGGCTGGATCTGCACAAATCCCACACTTGCGCTCTGAGCGGCCGGCAGAGCGCACCATGTGCCACGAGAAGCGCGCTTTCAGGCGACGCGCTTGAACGTGGATTGGTACGGAGCTGAGAGAGAGAGAGAGACTGGCTTCTTTCTGTTTTTTCTTCGCTTTCATATAAATATGTCTCATTCGGAGAAAAGTAGAAATTTGGACTTTTTCTTTAAATGAACGCTGCCCGTTGAGGTGAAAGCAAACAAGGTAGGACAACATCATAAATAACGCAATGGTGAACATTTCAGTGTTTGGCAGGGCGACGTGAATCTGTAGAATTAATTTTCAGTAACTTTTACTTATCTTCAAGCTGAATCGTTAAAACTGGACAGCGTTTAAAGCTCGTTGGGGCGTGTAGAGGCAGGGAACAAGTGCGCATCCATCCAAACCATTATCACCGCGTTTTTGTCCACTGCCTGACAGGACGCTCTTTGTCCAGGAGCGCTCAGTCATTCAGCTCCTGAAGTCTGTATCCAATAACTCTCCTGTGAGATTTACTGGGAATCTGAAGAAGCGATATTATGTCCTGATTAACTTTAATGTTTCATTAAGTGATGTGCGCATAATGGTTGCACGGTGTGTTCATGGAGCTGTCTGCTCGCCTCGATGCATCAGGCAGAATGCTGCTGGATGGACGCGAACTTAACGAGCTCCTGTGTACGTGTTATCATTATCATTAGTGGGAAAGAGGATCATGCACAGTCATCACTGGGGACTTTTGGAGCTCCATTAGAATTACAGTTGAATTGTTTGATTAGTTAATAAAAAAAACGTAACTTCTTTTCACCTTTTTCATTAAAATATAAAATTTAACTGGGTTTGACTCTAATTAATTAACTTCTAAACACGTAATGAGCTCCTCTTGTCTCATGCAGACGAAGGTGGAGCATTAAAATCTGAATACAAACGTGCACAATGCAGCTCTATTAATGCCATTGCAATGGCTGCTTTTAATACATGCTTAAAGAATGATGAGAAATGCAAAATCTGGGGTTGGTGAAAGATGATGAAGGACTGGATCTGACATTTAAGTTTATTTTAAGCTGCGTGTTTGACAAACATTAGAGACGGCAAAAGGATCTTATTCGTTTTTGAGCTACATTTCCAGTTACACCCTGGATAAATGCACTGTGATCGCAAGTTCACCAAAAAATGATCAGTGGCATATTAGGGACATGAACACAGTCTGGAATTCCCTTGCGGCTCCCAGCTCATATGCAGTATCATGTGAAGAGCATGTTTAATGACAGCAGAACCTCCACTGTTTATTGTAATAACTTTATTGTTTAGTGAACATGAGTCAGAGGAGGAAGCTGCTCTGAACGTGGTCTTCTGCCTGCTAAAGGAGAAGCAGTTATGGTTGGTTAGTGAGATTAGTGTTTAATTAAGAGGTCACGATCAGTCGATTGAATTTTAGAGGGTTTTTTAACATTAAGATGTAAATTTGTTTTTTCACAAAATGTAAATGTTTTAACATGATAACATGTATTGTTGGGCTGCTGTGGACCACTTAACACAGTACCTCCCCAGTGCAGTAATGTAATTAGTAAAAAACCTTATTTTATAAAGCCTTATTTTAACGCAGATCTTAGTCAGATGACTGAGACGAGGCTCGTTTTGCTGGTCAGCTCTTCCCCTTTCATACTTGTGCTGTTGAAATACAGAGAATTACCCAGATAGAAGGATTGATACACTTTTATGTTGAAGTTCAAAAGCTTTTAGCACAAACCAGAACACAAACTGAGAAGTTATCATGTGATTCCTGAGATCTTTATTCCCAGCATAACAGTGAAAGCATCTAAAACCATGTTTAGATGTTTCCAGCTTACAAATGATTTCCTTTGAAATCCAACAATGTTTCTGACTGAAATTTCATATAGTGGTGCTTTCTTTTACCTGCAGTATATCTGCTGTGGAAGTAATTCACTGAAGGAGGAAGACACTTCAGTTGCACTTTATTTTACAGTTCCCTAGTGAAGTGTCACACAGTGTACCAGCGGCATCAAACACAGAAAAACACTCATACACTAACAGATTCAGACACTCTGATTAGAAACCGATCTCCAAAATGGACTTGATTTTGTTGGAGGGTGGGCTGCTTGGAGTGGCTGATATATCTGTGTCCACAGCACATGACTGTCCTGCAGAATTCAGTCGTTTTCGCACTTTTGTCATCGTTATAGGTAATGTGGTGGTTGACAATGTGAACATAGTGTGAAAAGATGGCTTCATAGCTGCACAATGATGCTTTAAAGTGTAGTGTGCATTAGTATGTCCCCACCAATTATACTGAAGGCTCAGCTGCTGTGGGTTAGCACATTAGGACAGTGACACTGAAGTCCTTGAGTGTTTCTGGGTCAAATTTTGCTTCTCATATGGAAATTAGCATCCAAGTCTACCATAGCTTGGAGCCTGTAACAAGCATTGTTGCCTCCTCCTCACAAACACTAGCCGGCTGAGTGGGGAAAAGCTCTTTTGCCCTTTTCGGCGACTTTCTTCCCAAAGGTTCCTTAGAGCAAGTGATGTCCTTGTAATATCAGTCCTGGGGTAACTGTGGTGCTTGGAGCCAGTATGTGAGAGATTTAGGAGATTTGTGCAGACCAGTGCACAAGTTTGTAACATGCACAAGGCAACCAAGGGTGCTACCTTTTCTAAGGGTTTACAGGTGATAGAGCAGCCCTGATTACGCTGGAGCTTAGTGGTGCTGTTGATACCGTGGATCATAACATTCTTGCCTGAAACACTGGGTTAGCCCTAAGCAGCGAGTTCTTCTCGGTTCAGTTTCCATCTTAAGGATAGAACGTTCTCTGTTCGTCAGATTTTCTCATCCTCTGCTCTCGTCCAGGTTTGTATCTGTTTCCATTTGGTAATATTATTAGGAGGCACAGCATCTCCTTTCTTTTCTATGCTGATGACCTCCAGTTTTATCTTCCACTAGAACCTCAGGATTCCCTACAGCTTCTTATGAACTATTATGAAGATATTAAAGCCTGGATGATTAATAACTTAAAGTTATAACTGAGATCATCATCGTCAGTTCGGCCAAATCTAGAAGTGCTTTTGCAGGCTGTTCAAGTCATTTCACCTCATATTTAAAGCCTAATGCAAAAGACCTCGATGCAATTTTTTAAACCCATTTCTTCTCTTGTTAAAAATCATCTTTAAACTCAAATCTTTTTTGGCTTTTCGTGATCTGGAAGTTCATCCGTTCCTTTATTACTTTATGTCTGCTTTTTTGGAGATTCCTGTACCTTGGTGTCACCTGTGTCTTTAAACACGTTAACAGAGTTCAGCAGCTAGATTTTATTGCTGATTTCTTACATTTCCAATATCACATTTGGAGTAACAAGGTAACCATCTTTGCAGTCACTGCTCCAGAGCTATGGAATCACTTAATGCTTGAGATAAAAGGAGAGTCTAGGCTCAAAACCACCTTTACTCTCTGGCCTTTCCAACCCACTAACCTCTCATTTGTTGTTATATCTGTAACCCTGCTGTCTTCTGGTTGATGTAGTAGTAGTTATGTATCTGCTACTGAAGGCCACTTAAATCTCCACTGTTTACTTTACATTGCACAGTGGAACCCCGACTTACGAAATTAATTTGTTCCTGAGGGTCTTTCGTAAGTTGAAAATTTTCGTAAGTCGAAGCACCCGTCGCGCCTTTTGAGTGAGGCGATGCTGAACGATGGGCTATAGGCTAATTGCTAACTAGAACAACAACACGTTGTTCAAGTGGAACAGTGAAGCGCAATTACGAAAGCCAAGGGGTTGTCACATGATTCGGAAGGCATTGTGGGCTCGGCCAATCAGAGCCAGCGGATTTCGTAACTCGGGCAGAAATATTGCCATTCAGTGCCTTCATAACTTGAATTTTTTGTTTAACGGGGTATTCGTAAGTCGGGGTTCCACTGTATTTGTATGTATTTTTAATGTAATTACATTTAATGCAACTGTATTCTTTGCACAGCAATTCAAAAGCTCAATTTTAATTGTGCTGTGTAAATCTGATTTTGTTATACTTGTGAGAGGAAGTGAGAGACGGCCCCTTTTTTAACTTTCTTGGCTGATTACATTTTGCTTTTTAAAAGTTGCATCTGCTTATTACAATTTTTTGAGGTTTTTGATTTTCTGAGAACTATAATTCACAGCATACCTAAGAATTTTTATAACAATCTGCAGCAGCCATTAGAACCTGGAATCAAACCTCAGAAAAACCTCAGGTTACTGGACTTAGGTTAACTTTTGTTGATTGATCTAACTGAAAGTGTAGCCAGCTTGCATGAGTCTGTAACTATGTTGCAGTTTAGTTTGCACTGGGCTTTCTATGCGGAGCTGGGCTTTTTTGTGCATTTCAAACAATGGCAGCTAACACTGAGGTGATCCACCTGCTGTTGGACTGATTAAATGTTTAATAAGACTTAACATAAAAAAAGGGTTAGAATCGACAGAGTTGGAACTGTGAGAAACAGAAATCAGGATGTGGCTACACTGGCAGATTAATGACTATTGCATTAGCATTATGATTTATTTGCAGGCTATTAAATCCTACACTTTTTTGAAAATAATATCTTATATCTAATCACAGAAATGCAGAGACGGATGAAGAAGAGCGCGATACTTCTATCAAAAAGGTGTTACAGAAACCATCTGTCAACAACACCAAATGTGATACACTTAACTGAAGGGGAATTGTTGATCTTGGGTTCAATGATGAAATTGTAAAAACTGTGATGCATCATAAAGGAGACTCAGAAAATGTGATGGGAGGATGACGGTGATTGAAGGAATCAATTTAAGACATCAGCAAAGCACAGGAAGTCAGCTCCAACGTAATATTGTGTTTTCTTCCATCTAGACTTTCAGATTACTCCATGTAAGTAACATCCAATCATGACCAGACAGTTCAAATCAGACTTAATGAGCAGGATTCTCAGCAGCTACCCTTATCTGATCCAAATCTCTTCTATATAATTTCTTGAGTAGATGCTATCACAGCTGTTAATTTGCTGTCTGCTTGAAGGCACACGAGTGTGACACTCAGACAGCTGAGAGGAGGCTGACTTTTTCATTGGCCCATTTTGTTGTTCACATATAAACAGTAGTTATTTTACTTTTCTTCACGTGTGTCAAATTCAGGTGGACCTACTCTTAGAAAACAGATTAAGTTCTGTACGAGCAGAGAGTAAAAAATGAAAGTGGATTGAAAGTGTTAAATTCATAGCTTTTCATTCTAACATCAAACATGATATGAGATACCAGTACAAGGGAGGGAGGCTGTCAAAAGGTTTAAGAGACTGAATAAGCCTGTCGGAGAGAGAAAAAAACTCAAAAAAAGCTGAAAGACTGCAGAAAGCGCCTCGAGGAGACTGTTGTTGTGATTAAATAAAACTGAATTAAATAGAGGCCAACTAGAGTGGATGACATCTAACCAAGGCAAGACCCTTTTTGAGGGGGTAAGCGTGTCACTGTCAACATTTACAAACCAAAGTTGGCTTAATGAATAGAAACACATTCAGGGTTTATTACAAAGTATAAACCACTGGTTTCACTGAAAAAGAGGAAGATTGCTTGAAACGCTCTAAAAGAGCTTTCACAGTTCAGACAAAAAAATTCTCTGGACAGATGAAACCAGGATGGAGAAAATTATGGCGGAGGAGTTGAACTGGCTCGTGATCCAAAGCATACCTGTCAAATATGGTGGAGGTGTCTTGGCATAAGTATGTATGGTTGCCAGCAGAACTAAGAACCGATGACCTAACTGCTGATAAAGGTAACAGGATGAAGTGTGAAGTGTACAGGACTATATTCTTAGACAGACTTAGACAAGTGCTGCAGAAGAGTGCATCAGATAGTGCTCACAGCACAAATGGATACTGATCCAAAGTAGACTCAAAAGCAACCCAAGAGTTTCTCACAGCAAAGAAATGGCTTCAACCCAGCAGAGCAGGTTTTCAGTTACTGAAGAAAAACTGAATGCAGAAGGATGTCAGAGTAGAAATGATTAGCCTGTACTTACACGTTCACCTTTGAAATGTTTTCGACAGCATACGAACATAAAATCACAATTGCGAGTTTGTTGACTTGGTGGGTAATTTTTTCTTTGGCATTTTCTTTTTCCCTCAACAACCAATCTCATCTCGTTTTATAAAACACAATCAGACAGCAACAGCAGGATCCCACAACAAGAGCTGCTCCAGTGTGGCAATGCTCGGGTTGAAAAAGTGAAGGGGGAAGAAGTGCTCTTTTCAAGTAGCAACACAGATGGAAAATAGGACAGTGAAGTAGCGCGCTGCCGCTGGCACGGGGCCGGTTTGACATGTATTGAAAGAGATGCTGATTTTTTTTTTTTTTTTAAAAAGGCTGAAACAAAATGTTGAGGAAAGGTTTGATAATCTCATTTATACCAGAGACTGAAAAGATGGACACAGCTTGGGATCTGTAAAGTGAAACAAGTGGTTGTAAAACCAAGTGCAGCCGTTAAGAGGACGACTGGGAAAACTTAATCCATCAGCTTTTCCAATAACGAGTTTGAGTTGCAAGTTTCAAAGTCTTATTGGACACTTTTTCATTTTGTACTTCATAATGTACGGATGTACTGAATGCTGACTATACTAAACTACGTTTGAATAATGGCCAATAAACACACAACAGTAGATAAAAGTTGGACAAGAGTTGGGAGTTCGTCTTATAATCAGAAGGTTGCCGGTTCGAGCCCCGGCTCCGACAGTCTCGGTCGTTGTGTCCTTGGGCAAGACACTTCACCCGTTGCCTACTGGTGGTGGTCAGAGGGCCCGGTGGTGCCAGTGTCCGGCAGCCTCGCCTCTGTCAGTGCGCCCCAGGTAGCCGTAGCTGCCATCACCAGTGTGTGAATGTGTGGATGACTGGATGTAGTGTAAAGCGCGTTGGGGTCCTTAGGGACTGAGTAAAGCGCTATACAAATGCATTTACATTTTAAAATCAGACTTACTCCAGCCTGGAAAACCTCAGGGGATAAAGTACAAGCAGTTACAACAACGCTGTTCAAAATGGAACTTTTAAAAAATAATTTATCATCACCTCCATTAAAATAACAGACAAATAAAACACAGCGGGGGATCAGATAACCATCAGATACATCAGCCGACCCGAGCTTTTTTGATAAGAAATGATCAAAATCAAAATGTATCTGCCCACACTCAACATCTGGTATCATGCAAAGATCGCAGCATTGTTGTAACACAATAAAAACCCAACACGCTGCACTGATGTGAGAGTGAAAGGAACAAGGTTCCATCACAGATTCCTCTGAACTTTATCATTCAGCTACAAAGGCAGAAAACTTCTCTTTGAAGAGGTGAGGGTATTTCTTTACTTTTAGAGGTGCATTATCTTTCTTCATTTTGATTTCTTCCTTTTCTTGTGTAACATTACACATTATAATCTGACAGGATGATATGTTTTTAAGGTATTTTTGCACTCCTTAATGGGTGCTTTTTTAAAAGATTGGGATTAAAACTTTTTGATTAAGCTTATAGTTAAGGCTGGATCAGGTGACCTGAATCCTCCCTTAGTGATGCTGCAGTAGGTCTAGTCTGCTGGGGGATTCTTCTTCACTCACATCTTTTTTGTTTGTTTTTTTAAATACTATTAATCTCTGGCTCTCTTCCACAGTGCGTCTTTTTCCTTTCTTCCTCCCTAACCCCCAAGCAGTTGAGGCAGATGGCTGTCCCTCTCTGAGCCGGGTTCTTCTTGTTTTTCCTTCCCACTGTCACCAAGTGCTTCCTCATAGGGTCATCTAATTGTTGGGGTTTTCTTTCCAGTATTGTAGGCTCTTACAGTATGATGCACATTCAGGTGACTGTGATTTGGTGCCATGTGAATAAAACTGAAATGATTTACAACACTAGAGAGGGATTCAGCCGTGGTCAACAAACATGTTTTCACCAAAAATCCTTTAACAAACCTCCGATTGCAGGATTTTACTTAATACAAAACTAATCTTAAAATAAATAAATAAATACTCCTGTACCTTCTCATTGCACTTTTCTAACGACTTTTCATATTACAGGGTTAAAATGAACGAAGGACTTGAAAACAACTTGACTCAACTGAATGACAACTGGACGTTTTACAACTCCTCCCTGGAGTCTGTCATACCCAGGAGCAACATCACTTATGTTGGATTTTACCTGCATCAGCCATCCACGGCAGCCATCTTCATCGTGTCCTACCTGCTGATTTTCCTCGTGTGCATGGTGGGAAATGGAGTGGTGTGCTTCATCGTGCTGAGGAGCAAAAATATGCGGACTGTTACCAACTTGTTCATCCTAAACCTCGCCGTGAGTGACCTGCTGGTGGGGATTTTCTGCATGCCAACAACGCTTCTTGACAACATAATTACAGGTGAGCAGACAGTAATAGAGGTGTGTTGCTCTTTTGTGCCATTAGCTGGCAACACTACCCAAAAACTACCTGGTGAAATTGCATCAAATTTGAGAGGTTGAGCATGGAGTAGGGAAGAAACTATTACCTTTAGCACAGAGAGGAATCTCTGCATGTGGATTCTTATAAATTAGATGATTTATTGCTTCTTGCTTCCCGATAACCCAGATAGAGGACAAGCTTCTATTGTGATTAACATCCCGAAAGGCGTATTTAAGCTTCAGTGTGTAGACCGAACAGCAATAATGGACAACAAAATAAAAGGTTGCCAACATGAAAGTTAAAGTCTAATTTCCTTGATGAAAGTTTTGCAGATTATCTGCAGAACTCAGCAAATACTAATGAACAGAATCATAACCAGCTACTTAACAGGTTCTGAAGCAGAAAATAACCACTTTTTGGTAGCGATAGAACATCTTAGAAAGATTTGGTATACCCACTGCACACATAAACCTAAATTACAAATGAATGTTAAGGCAGCCGGAGTATGGTAAAATCCAGCCTGACCAGCAACAGCTGAGTCACCGCAGGGGAACCAGATCTGATTCCTGGTATCCTGAAACGGCCACCGAGCAGAAGGGTTAGGGTTTTTCTGTCGTCTTCACTTTTGCCCTGTTTTACCAAGACTTGCTTCACATTTCAGTGATCGCAAAGCAAATGCTGTATGAAAAGAAGTGTTCTCACCATCTTTTCCAGAGTTCAACCAGCCATTTAGCTTTCTACTGTGAAATCACAGCGTCAGAGCTGCTGGCTTTGAGTTGTATTAATGTGGACTACCCAAGTTTTCTGTAGAGCCATCCTTTGCTAAATGAACCTTGTGAGCACTGAGACATGACCCACCGCTTTCTTATCGCCTGTGGTGGTGAGAAACAGAAGAGGCTCGGCAGAGTTGAAATTGTGAGCTGAGATGGAGAAACCGGGGCTTTTTCCACATTGTGCTCCAATTCCGCTTGACAGTTGGTTGCTGATGACTAAATCACACATGAGCAATTTTTAAGGCAAGTGATAGTAGCTGGGGGTTCAGATACTGTCTACAGTTACACATTGAAATTAAATGACTAAAATCAGACAATGATTTTATGATAATTTACACTTGGAAAGTGTTTTCAAATTCCTCTGATTCTGATATGAAATGACAGTTTCAAACTAAAGCCCACGAGCTTCTGTCTTTTGCTAACAATAAGAATCTTAACTGAGTGACAACGAAATTGCTTCACTCATTTAGAGCAACAATTTTGGATGTATAACGAGAGCGGAATCTGCAATTAGTGATTACAGTTACAGACCAATTATCCACATCTTTCCTCTTTGTAAGAGCAGATATTTGGTATGAAAAAAAACATTATAGTCTGAATCAAGAGCCAAACCAGACATGCAATATGTGAACGTCCAGCTGGCTGGAATTCTTTGTGTGATTAAATTCCTGCTGCGATGACATAACAATGAATTTAATCCAGAAATGTAAGGGACGGCTTGCGCCCACCAGCAGGAAGCATATTCCAGATTAGCTTTCCAGTAGATTATCGCATTAAAAATTATGCAGAGTTTTAGAAAAATCTCTTTCACTGCGAACCTCTAACCTCAACAGTTCAAGAATACACCAGTGGGTAAGCATTTGCTGCACTATGAATGGCACTGGAACAGCTAAAAATAATAAAAGCATTTAATAAAATAAAGCGTGTATGCAATCCCAGTGTCATGCATTAATAATAGAAACCTAGAGGAGAGACATGCCAACGGAGTAGAAATTGAGCTCTGGAATCAACACCTGCCGAGCACAAAATAATAGAAATAACAGGATAATAGTAATAATAGAAAAAACATCAGTAAAAATTATTTTGTGATGTAGCTTATTGGAGAGAATGATGATTACATTTGGCTAATAATAGCAAGATTTTTGCACTTGTGCAACTTGGATATATCCATATCTGCAGGGGAACAAACGTCTTGCACAGAGGAAGCCTAATGTGTAAACACTGAACCCAGGAGATACAAGTATACCGACCCCTGCTCGCCACCTCTCACTGAGGACGACTTTACAGACCGTCTATAGGACATAGGCTTCAAAACCCGAGCTGTGCGTTGAAGAAAGCATGACTATATACAACTGGCATCTCTCAGCCTCGTGCAATAGCTCCAGCTGCTGCTGTTCGAAGTGCCAAGAACCAGTTTGGATCTGACTGCCCAGACCTCCCCCCCGACTGCTTCCCCATTCATATTGCATCAGACACCAGTGGACCCCCCAGCCAGTAGGGAGGGTGATTGGCAGGGCTGGCCTATGGGGCTGTCTCTGGTTGAGGTCAAGTATGGACCAAACTAAGGTCATCTGCAGAGCACGTCTCCACACAGAAATCTAAAATATTTGATTAGGCTTCATCAGATATGGATTTTGAAAGGATTACACTTTGGTGGGAGGTGCATGCTTATAGCTCATAATTAAGTGGGGATCCTGATTGCTTTCCAGAATGCATTAGCCTTTGCAAAGGATGTACCACCCGAGAGCTTTACATTACCTGACTCTCTTATCAGCAAGATTATTGAAAAAATGAAATGTGGATATACCATCTTATTATGTGACACCACCTGCAGCCATAACTGTTTTTGATCGCTCCAGAAGGTGATTATGTGAAGATTCTGTCAACATTAAGGTGTCATGGCCACACAATCTCATGCAATCATGAAATGATAAAGCGGGGTAGGAGACATCAAAATGAAGGCCTGGTTCAATAAAGGGAGGAACAAGTGGCTGATGACCCCGACCACTAGATGCCTGTTGCGACATTTTTATTTTTTGGGTCTGTTCTGAGAATTCATGAGTCAGCTTGTCACATTTCATGTTACACAAGATAGGATAACACAAGATGTTTTAGAAGAATATACTCCAGTAAATTCTCTGCAGGTTCTTTAGTGTGTTATGTTGCATGACCTAGTGGAGAGGCCGTGTTAACAGGGCAAGAAAGATTACGGTCGGCGTCTCCAGCAGATTTTTCATGCCACTGAAGATCCAAACATTTGAGCAAGAAGGGAGCCCAAAGTGATGATCAGGCAAAAAAAGATGGCCCTCTATGTTTGCTGATCGACTGTTGAGATTTGAGTAAAATATCAGTGGACATAATGGTAAATGTGATGCAGCAGACAAAAAAAAAAGGTTCAAGGTGAGTCAAGCTGCAGTTTGTATGAGGACAAAATGAAAGATTCATTCAGACGCCAGCAGGCCAAAGAGCTTTTGGCACAGAGATGAAAATTGAGCTCACTCAGCTGGAACGTAAAGGGCTGTGTCAATCATAAAGTGGGCAGAGCTCATCACCAGTCTGCCTGCACTCCATCTTTCAGTTCTTTCAGTGTTAGGAGTAGGATACAGAGAAATTCAGTGGCATTTGGCCAATAAATCACTCCGACATCTCAATTCAGCTCTGCTTTCCATTATTGCGTCAGAACAGATTAGATGCCATTGTAATCTGTCTGTCTGCAGTTTGCATGTTACTCAGGCTGCATGTATGAAAACATGACCTCATGCATAATTTTTTCTCCTTGTAGCGTAATAGTCATGTGTTTACAGTGATCGTGCACCGAGCTTCGAGTGCAGCCAAGCATGGGCGACCTACAGCTGAGTGATAATGCACGATGCATTCAGGCACAGACAGAGTATGGGAGCCGCTGCTGCTGATACTGCGCTCGTGTGCTGCTCAGGGATGTGATGCATATCCTTTTTTGTATGTTAGTTTCGGTTGTCAATGAAAACTCTGGGTGTTTGATTTATATTTAAAATTTCACAAATACCAAAAAGATATATTTCTGTGATAAAATGTGTTGATGAGAGATTGTGGACAAAAGGAGAAAGGCACAATTTAATTTTGTAGGCAATAATTAAAAGTTAGTGCAGGGGCAACAAAAACATGAAAAGTGATAATAATACATTTAAAAAAACACACAGCGGAACATCTGATAACTAAGATGTTAATTAGTAGCATTATTTGGAATAAACAGACATTTCCTGAGAGGTTGCAAATTTAATAGAGACTAGAAGAGGTTCACCACTCTGAAGGACTGCGTGTGCAAACGTCTCACAATTATGAAGAATTTTTGGTACATAAACAAGTAAATGTGAGGTTTGGCCTCTCAGGAGCACTCTCTCTGCGATCAGGAAAACAAGTAAAAACTCTAAAATGCAAACAAACAGGTGCATAATGCACATTTTCGAAATGCTGATATCTCCTGGGTGCTCAGCACTCAAATCTATGTGAGCTATGAAACTATAGCTAAGCCCTCAGTGGCTGAAAACACCTAGAAATGCTGTTAAAAGGAGAGGTGATGCAACCAGAGGTAACTTGCCCCTCAGCTCACCTTTCTGAGACATGTCGCTGGCATGAATTTAAAAATGAACATACTAAAATGCGTTTCTGCATTTTTAATTCACATTTTTTCAGCTTTTTTGGAAACGAGACTGGACTCAATGTTAATGGAGGTCAGGGGTCAGGGCTTTAACACAATGAAGTGAAGCAATAAATAAAATGTACAGCTCTCCATTTGACAATGAGACTGTGAAGCTTCCCAACACCAATGAAAAGCAGTGCGATGACGGTTACAGTCATCTTCTTTCAGCTATAGTGATAAGAGGCTCTTGTTTAGCCCATGAGTGCTGTGAAAAGACTGGACTACTCGCAATCTGCCGCAGTTTCTAAGAAAGCTTTCATCTACAGCCCATGTGATGATGCTCTAGTTCACCGTGATTGATGGTATTGAATCTGCATCAGTGCTTACTGGCAATTCAAACTATATGAAAGAGGCATCGCAAGAAGATTAAAGACGCCCAAAATCTGCCTGCTCGTCTGCTCAGCACTGTGAGCAGATTTGGCAGATGCTGTGTAATTTTGGTTAATAACATATTGTGTGTAACAGAAGTGCACTATCGCACTGTATAATATAATTTGGTGAATAGAAATTATTGTAAAAAACAGTAACTGCAGACCTCCAGCAAGAAGGAATTGGTGTTTGAGGATATTTTTTATTATGGAAACAGTAATTAATAATGACACCAGACCGTGTCTGCCGCTTCTAAATCCAGTATGCGGATGGATGGCAGCTCAGGATATCAGCATATTGTCTGCCTACACAGAAGAAATTTGATGAAAGTGGGTCTGTATCTGCCTTATTTAGAGTTTTCTGTTCTGAAAGGGATTAAGAAGCTGAGCGTATTATGTAGACAGCTTGTTAATCTGTTTATTCCTTAAAAAATGAAAAAAAGGAAGACAAGGAGGTAAACATATACACAGTGAAATAAAAATACGCTTTCAGTCCAGTTATTTCTGCCATTATATTTATCTGACATCATCCATGTAAGAGAGCAAACTTCCAGATCGTTGTGCTCCCAGCTGTGCCAGGCTTAATCCTCAAATAATTTACATAGTTCAAAAACAAGACTATCCCCTCCTCTTTCAAATCCCTTATTCTGTTTCCTAGATATACATTTTAATATCTTAAACCAGTAACAGAGATATCCCTTATGTTATTATTAGAAACCGAAAAGAAAAATTATTTCATTATTTTTTTTGTATTTCATTTTGATCAATTAATTTTAATTTCAGCAGGTGGTATCACACTCAAACAGACTGAACAGTGAACACTGGGAAATACATGATTTAAACCTCCCTGTACCACAAAATATTTTTTTTCATTGTAAATAGCTGCGTTATACTTGGTGAGACTCTAGAACTTAAAGAAATATACATATTTTTTAATTATTAGTAATTGTTTGTATGTACTGTTAACATATACTGTTTTATCAAACAGCCTGAGCTTATTAATATTAAAAACCGTAATTTTAACAATAATTCTAACAATAATTCTAACAATGTTTTGACATTTTGTTAAAATTAAAAGTACGCTATGTTTTAGGTAATTAATATACAGTTGTAAATCGTAAATTCAAATGAAAAAAGCAGGAAAGATTGCCATTCATACAGAGTTATTATGTAATTTGTAGGGTGATTCATTGTAAATAATGTTACAGATTTTTCCTGTTGTTTTCAAAGACAATGTGCCATATTACAGTACATTAATATATTTTCAACATATTAGCAGTGTAAAAATAAAAGCAAATCATCATTTTTCAGTTTACAGAAATGTAATGTCCATATTACAATAAATTACTCTTTTTGATTTAATGGTAATTTACCATTTTACAGTTATTAACTGTCATTTTTATGTACATTTCTTACAGTGAGGTTCATTTTCAAACTCAAAGAGCCCCCATCAGATCCCCCAAAACGTAGTAATACTGCTGGTGGGTGGAGATAGAAACACTATTATAAAGTTCCCTGAAAATCTCGTCCTAGAAATGTTTTTCTCGTCACTGTTCAATGCCGATATTTTAAAACTCAGATTTCAGCTTCACTAATAAGAACAACACGCTCTGCCAGGAACCCCGTGAGGTTTGTTAGTCTCATTCAACCTTCATCTGGTTTAACAATTAATTGCAAGTGCAGATAAATGGCTCATATCAACATCCTTCTAGCCTGCTGGCCTCTCGGGAGCTTGTTTGTGCAGTGAAGCTCCTATATGAATGAACTGGAGAGGGATTCACACGTTTTACTGAATGCTTAAAAGCATTTTCTGCAGATTTTACTAAACTATTCTTGCACAAAGGGCTGATTGAGGATTCCTTGAGTACCGTGTTTCTTCTTCCTGTTCACTCTGTACTGATGATTGTCTGCAGGCATATTAAACATCAACACTGCAGGTGTTACTGTTACCAGCATCACTGATTACGTATTGTTCCCAATCAAAACACTTGCTTATGGCATTAAGACAAATCCCCTCAGCTTCAGCGTACACTGGTGAGTTTGTGGGTGTAATCTTTGTTTTCTCGTTTCTTATTCTTTTCCAGAATTTACATAGGTACTGGAAAACTATCATATAGAGCAGTCGTGCCTCTCAGGCCTTTGCATACATGTGGGTCGCATAATTACGTTAGTCCTTCCAGATTAACCGGCAGTGTTTAACACTATGGTCTGGATTATTAAAAGGTTGTTTTGAAAAGTGTTTCCTAAATGGCCTTCTGGCTTTTTCAGAACTCACTGGTTAAATATTTCTTAGAGGAACTGATGGTTTCTTCTGTGTCCCAGAAGTATGCCATTACATGAGAGTCACAGCCTGGGGCTACAGTCATCATGCCAACTGTCACAGTTTGTTGTCTCAGTAGTAAATCAGCTGAGTGCATCTCTCTTGTCAACAGGATGGCCTTTCGGAAGCTTGGTCTGCAAAATGAGCGGCATGGTTCAAGGCATCTCTGTGTCAGCTTCTGTCTTCACGCTCGTCGCTATTGCTGTTGACAGGTAACGTAGATGTATTTTATCTTTTAAGCGGCTTTTGAAAAATATAAAGGTCGCAGCGTCTTTTATGCAATTTGTTCAATATGTGCTTTCCATGAATTTTCCATGAATTTGTGTAATTTGAAGTCCTGTCATGATCCTGGGTTTTTGTGAGCTTGTGATTCCTTTTAGTTGTAAGAGTCTCTCGTTTGGAATCTGTTTGTACTATTTTTATATTCTCGTCCTCCTTTGTCATCCCTCTGTCTCCTCAGTCATGTCCCCCCATCTGTTTGGATTTTTTTTTCTATGTCAGTTCGGTGTTTCTTGTTTCGTGTCAAGTTTGTATATATCAGTCAGTCACCTGTTCACTTAGTTCCTGTTTAATTTGCCAGTCCCTTGTCTCATGTGCTTTGCGTGTAGCTTTGTTTCACTCTGTCATGCTTCCCCTGACTTAGCTCAGCTGTGTTTCCCCGGTGCGTTCCATCTCCCAGATTACCTCTTGTGTATTTGAGCCTTCAGTTCTCCTGCAGTTCCACCCCCAGCTTTATTTAAAACAGTCTTTTAGAGTGAATGATATCATTAAGCTTATGACAAAGCTCAGATGGGTAATAATAATAATAATAATAATAATAATAATAATAATAATAATAATGGGGTGCCGAGAGAAGAACTGTGGTACTGCATGAGGAAGTCAGAGGTATGTGAGGGGGGCATAGGAAAGACAGTGGTACGGTGTGAGGAGTGACAGATGAGTTTAAGTTGAGTGTGGGATCGTTTGCAGTAGTGATGGACAGGTTGACAAGTGAGGCTATGCAGGAGTTTCTGTGGACTATGATGTTTGCAGACAACTTTGAGATCTGCAGTGAGAGTTGGAAGCAGATGGGGGAGAATCTGTAGCGGGGAGGTATGCTCTGGAGAGAAGGGGAAGGAAGGTCTGCAGAAGCAAAACAGAATACATGTGTGTGAATGACAGGGACGCAGAAGCAAAGGTGAACATGTAAGGAGTAGAGATATTGACGGTGGATGAAATGAAATACCTGGGGACAAGCATCCAAAGCGATGGGCAGTAAACAAGAGAGGCGAAGAAGAGTGCACAGGAAGGGTGGAGCAGGTGGAGATGAGTGTCCTTCTATCACAAGAGTGAAAGGGAAGGTTTATAAAATGGTAGGAAGACCTGCTGTGGTGATGGCACTGATAAAAAGACAAGAGGTCGAGCTGAAGATAGTAAAACTTAATTTGGACAGACCAGGAAGGACGGGATTAGAGGGACAGAGGGCTAGCTCAGGTTAAAAGGTATGGAGACAAAGGTAGAGAGGCACGGGTAAGATGGTTTAGGGATGCTGGAGATACTGGACAAAAGATTTTGAATATGAAGCTGCCAGGCAGGAGGAAAAGAGTGAGACTGTGGCAAACTCTAAAAGCAGCAGCCCAAACAAGAAGACGTTGATGACAGTAGGCAAGTAAATGGTAGTGCTCTGATGCAAAGAAACAGGAAACTGCAGTTCTGAGATAATTTTATGGGGATTATCAAAATTCCCATAAAATCCCCTTGTTTCTATACTTTCTGCGGCCCATCTGGCCTGAGTTGGCCCCTGCTGGCCCCAAACACCACAGATAGCTGACATACATCTATTTGTGTCCTCTAATCGAGGATTACACGCATGTCAGTGACGGAAACAGTGGATCCTGTCTCCTCTTTTGTTATCTCGTGTGTGCAGAAATGCACCTAAGCCATCACAGTTAGTTACGTCCTCTTGGTGAGTGTTACAGGAGATTTGGACCATTACAGTAACAGAGTGCATGGGCTGAACAACTACTGAGCAAACAGAGAACCTTTGTGTTCATCCGGTCGTCCTTCTCTCACCAGTCAGGGCAGATGGCCCCGCCCCTCCCTGAGCCTGGATCTGCTGGAGGTTTCTTCCTGTTAAAAGGGAGTTTTTCCTTCCCACTGTCGCCGAAGTGCTGCTCATAGGGGTCATATGATTGTTGGGTTTTTCTCTGTATCTATTATTGTACGATCTATCTTACAATATATATAAAGCGTCTTGAGGCGACTGTTGTTGTGATTTGGCGCTGTATAAATAAAACTGAATTAAAAAATTGAATCGAACCAGAGAATCACCTTAATCTAACTTCTCTCAGCCTTTGGGTATTTAATAGTTGAGCTATTATACCAATAATTTTTTTTTCATTCTCAGACTGTTGCCGTTTTTGCCTCAGCAGGAAATGGAAATGCTACGGCAGTGTTTCCCAACCTTTTGGAGCCGCGGCACATATTTCACATTAGAAAAATCACACGGCACACCACCAAACAAAAGTGTCACAAGAAGCATATTGATCATTTTACACCAGGCACAGTGGAGTTGGCTCGGTTTGTCCCCAGTATACCTTTTTTTGCTTTCTTCTGCCCACTACTCCTGCCTTCATCTGGGTGAGAATTTTCTCCGGGACCAGGTCGGATTGACCACATTTCCTTTTCAAATATGTATCTATTGCTATTACACGCTGGTTATCTCACTCACAGCATGACATTATGTAATTTCTTCTTTGTCATCTGTTTTACTGGCGGTTGGCAACCCATTTAATAAGAGCAGGTAGTTGTGCTGCCCTCTAGTGGAAGAGAATGTAGTTGTTACTCACATCGATCGCTTAGAGTATTAATCAGGTGGAACCGGATAATCTTCCACGGCACACCTATGTGCCGCAGCTACGGAGCATCTGTCAGCTAAAGGAGGAAAGATTTTCTCTTGGGTGCAAAAGGAGACCAAAAACAATCCTTAAAATTGCCTGTAGTGCAGGGTTCTTCATAATGCTTGAAGTTGGAGAATATTGGACTGCAGGTCCAGATCACAGAGACATGTCTCTAAAACACTGCCAGTCTTACTTAGCCATAAGTGGCTACTGTGTAAAGAAGCATTTACATTAAAATTTTATCTGCTTGTTTCCCTCAAGTGGCAAAAAAATAAATTAAAAAACAAAACAACTATCCTGCCCCTTTTTTCAAATTCACCAAATGTCAGTGAAATCTGTTTTGTGATGTCTTGTTGAGAAAGACATAAGCCGGACAGGCTTGTGCAGCTTTATTATCTTTAACTGGCACATGTCTTCATTTGAATTGCTTCATTGCCGTCCACAAAGATGTCAACAGTCGGATGTTAATCCTGCTTAATCGCTTTACAAACCAAAGCAAGAGGCTTTAGAATCCAGTCTGTCGCCAGCACTCGAGCCCCACAAAAAGCCCCACATCCTAAGTGGAGTTAGAAGGTGTAAATATGAGGGTGACAAAAGCTCTGCGTGGTGTAAACTGACAGCGCTGTATATTATCATCTCTCTGTCCTCAGACACTAGACATGCAGCGATATCACTCCATCACTATTTGATATCACTAGAGGCTGTCTGTGCCTCTGGGATGGACAGATTTTGAAATGCTTTGACATACAGAATTGAAAGTCACCTTCAATATCCATCAGCTACATACTTAGAATTAAATTTGAAAGGACAAGGAGACACAGAGCTGTGTGTTGTCACCTTTGCTGTCATTGTTCAGTGAGCCAGTAATCACTCAGTCTCATCTTCTGTGCCTTCACCTTACTGCTGTCACATTACACAGCACTGTATCATCCTGACTAATTTAATACCAAAATATCTTTTCAGTCTACGAGCAACTCATTTTAAACTCCGAGAGTCATGCAGGTTGAATGTTTGCACAGCATCTCCAGTTGGATTGAAGCTTTTGATTATATGTTGTTGTGTTACCGTGAAGTCAGTGGGCAAGACATCTCAGACAATGGCTGGAGAAAAAGGCACAGAAGAAGGAGGGCATTAGCATTTTTGAAGTACCCGGCAGTGACATTTGTAAACACGGAAAAAGCAGACTGGCCCGGGGGAACTTATTTAGTCACTCGTTTATCCAGCGCTGCACGGTGACAGGCATCAAGGGAAAAAAGGGCTTTACTTCACAGTGACATCCACAAAGCAAATTAGCCACACCAAAATAAGTCCAACTGAAACTTTTCAAATACAGTTTGCATGCTTAGACACAATGCAGCTGACATGACTGTCAGATACTGCAAACAAATGGAAAGTGATGGTGTAATGTTTGCATGGAGAGGTGAGAACACGACCATATAAGCTGATTTCTAAATGAATTGTACACTGTAACTATAGCTGGCAAGTGCTCACTTCAGAAGGAGTCAGCACAGTCAAGCCCATTATCATCAATGGAGCTCCAGTGGAGAGGGTGCAGTCCTTCAAGTATCTTGGTGTCCACATCTCCTCAGACCTGACATGGGCTGCCCACATTCAGGTCCAGACCAAAAAGGCTAGGCAGCGCCTGTATCACCTACGACAACTGAGGAAGTTCAGGGTCTCTCCAAAGATCCTCAGGATTTTCTATACAGGCGCTGTGGAGAGCATCCTCACACAGAACATGACATCGTGGTTTGGGAACAGCTGTGTGAAGGACCAAAAAGCTCTCCAGAGAGTGATCCGTACAGCAGAACGCTGCTGCAGGATTGCTCTCCCCCCGCTTCAGGACACCTACACCAGGAGATGCCGGACTAGAGCAGCGCAGATACTGAAGGACCCGTCCCATCCTGGCAACAAACTGTTCCAACTTCTGCAATCTGGTAGAAGGTTCCGCATCTTCCGGGCAAGGACAGAGAGACTCAAGAGGAGCTTCTATCCCCAAGCCATCCGTGCCCTAAACACACACACCCGCCCTCTCACATCATCTATAATTGACTGAGACAGGACTCTTCCAGACACTAAACCAAGGCACAATGTACATTTCAATTCCTTTAATTTTAAATATGTTTATATTGTCTATCCTGTAAAATAGTCAGATGTCTATTCATATTAATGTACAGAATTCACCTGCTTGCTGCTACTACTGCACATTCACCCAGTGTATATACTATAATTTATATATATATATATATATATATATATATATATATATATATATATATATATATATGTTCTTCCCTACACCCCCCATTTTTGCACATGTCGAGGAGCGTGTCAGGCTACATTTCACTGTGTGTTATACTTGTATAACTATGCATGTGACAAATAAAGAACCTTGAACCTTAAAGAACACATTTGTGCTTCTTCAGGTTTTGAACACAAAGGAAAATGACACAAAAATAGTCCTCGTAAACCTTAATGTCCGAATGAGCTAATCAGCAGCATTTATTCAAACAGCATGCCAGGTGCACGGTGACCTTTAGTGCAATATGATGTGAACACCATGTAGCTTTTCAGACGCACATGCTCACGTAGTCAGAAAAAGTATTTTAAATGCCTACATGCATCTTAACATCACCTTTTGTACCCTCTTGCAGGTTCAGATGCATCGTCTACCCATTCAAACAAAAGCTGACCATCTCCACAGCCACGCTGATAATAGTCATCATCTGGGTTCTGGCCGTATCCATCATGTGTCCCTCTGGCGTGATGCTACAAGTGACCAAGGAGCAAACCATCCGGGTGTTGCTGGGATATGATAACAAAACTATTCCTTTTTATTGGTGCAGAGAGAACTGGCCAAACCAGGACATGAGAAAGATTTACACCACAGTCCTGTTTGCCAACATCTATCTTGCCCCTCTTTCCCTCATTGTGATCATGTACGCCCGGATTGGGATTACGCTTTTCAAAACAGCAGTTCCAACGGGAGGAAAGCCGGGCCACGAGAACCGCCACACGGTGTCCAAGAAAAAGCAACGCGTCATTAAAATGCTTCTCATAGTTGCTTTGCTCTTCATCCTGTCCTGGCTGCCTCTGTGGACGCTCATGATGTTGAGCGACTACGCCAGGCTGACTGAGCAGCAGTACAGGATCATCAACATTTACATCTACCCCTTTGCCCACTGGCTGGCCTTCTTCAACAGCAGCGTCAACCCCATCATCTACGGTTTCTTCAATGAGAATTTCCGCAGAGGCTTTCAAGCCGTGTTCAAGTTCAGCCTGTGCACAGCCGACGGCCAGCGGAGGAAAACCTACTCGCACAGGCTGCAGGGAAACTCTGTCCTCCCTGCGAATAATGCACAGACCTGCCTGGAACCCATCTCTCTCAACAGCTTGGAAAAGAACACGTCCAGGCGAGTCAACCATGTCACCGAGCAGGATTTGGTCATGGAGGACCTGGAAAAGGCATCTTGCAGTAGTGGGGGTGTGACTGCAGTGTCTATTTGAGGACGCACACACACACTTTGTTGTAGGCGGTGAGGAAAGATATTTGAATCTTAAATCATGCTGTGCTGTGCCTAAGAAAACCACGAGGCTCCCTTAAATAGATTTTACAAGCGGATGGTGAGCTGGAAAATGTCCAAGATTTCAATACAATACAAGATTTCAAGGCAAGAAAATAAATAAAAATAATAAATACACATCTTTAAGTGACTAGTTTTAAGGGGAACACAGCCTTTGGTTGTAATCTTATCACTTCAGATGCACACGATGTGACACACGTGCAAGGACAGGACTTAATATTCCTGCTGTCCGTTGCAGAATGGTCAATTCGACTTGTCGATATTGCTTTGATAACAGGCTGCTGCACACTTGACATACAGATGGTGTCAAATTAAAGGGGAAAAAAGAGCAGCCAACAACACCATGTAAGATTTCAGCTCCAAAACTGTGACGGAGGGATGAGCGCCATCCTTTCAAAATGCATTTCTAGTCTTTTAATGATTCATAACTTTTTAAGGAGCCCCTGTCAAACTTGAAGAAACTGCCCTGATCACGACAGAAACGTTTCATTATAGGAGACAAAAACAGACGTACAGATGTGATAAATGTCCCCGAAAGCATAAAAGAGCCCCCAGATCCCTTCACAGTAATGCTCAAGTGTTCCTTTAATCTTTAATCTGCACCACATAAAATTTCTGTGTATAAATGTATAAAGATGCATCAAACATGACAGCATGACACTTGCAGAGAAGATTTCAAGATATGTCTTTGCAATGTGGCAAACTACACGAACAGAAGTTCTCCCAACATCTGTCTCGTGTTATTCACTGCTGCTGCTGCTGAAACCTTCGGCAACTTTCAGATCACGAGGAGAAATCCCACGTTGTGTGGTTTGTGTCGCCTAATGTTTGAACTGCTTTATTAAGTCAAACAACATACACGAGATATAAAAGTCAAAGGGCTCAAATGAGGAATAAAGGAGTTGAGAAAAGAAGTGGAGGTTGATGTAGCAACTATTAGTCATCACGATCTTTTATATTCACAGATGCATTAATACATGAGAACAGTTCTTTTTTAAAGCGAGGCATGTTTTTATGCTCTGCTATCACAGCCACAGCATGTCACACTCACTTCAGAGATCAACTAACAAGTAATTTCAGTAAATATGAAATCTTTTTCTATGATTTTTATGCCATTAATCTAGAGGCTGTTTTGTAACCCAGTTTGTAAAAATGGTGCAGAAAGGTGACATCTTTACACTAAGAAAGGCAAGTTTGTGTGAATCAACTCAAAGGAGGAGAAGTAGTAGACTGTAAAGCAGGAGCAATCAGCCTTTAAATAGCCTCAGAGGTGATTGCTGACTGGAGTCAGGTGGCAAACGAGGCTAATCAAAAGCAGCTGTGTCCTGGGGAGAGAGGAGAGTGAGAGAGACAGAGGGGGTAGGAGTGGCAAGAGAGGAGGAGGCGGGGAGAGCGGGCAAACACCCCACCCACACACTCCCACAGCCTCACAGGATGTAACAGTTATGAAAGTAGCCATAATTAAGCAGTTTTTGATCTAACATGCATATGGAGACACGAACGGTCTTTAGGCGTAGCTACGGATGGTTGTCTTTCTGTGTCAGCCCTGCAATCAACCTGTCTCCATGACAGTCGGATAAGCAGCTAAGAGAATGGATGGCCTTCTTTGAAACAGAGTAACTCCAAAACCACAAAGACAGAGAAAACCCTGTTTGTGCAAAAGTGATAATTAAAGGTTGTAAAACTTTAAAAAGGAAGGTTTCCACTTGATTTTGATTAAAGTCCAGCAGCAGAGCAAACACACCAGTAGTTAGGAGAGTTTGCTGCGAGTTCTGATATTCACCAAGATTTTTCTCAGAGACACTGGAGATGGACAAAGAGGCTTAGGTTTGAGAGCCCTGCTATAGAGACTGAATTAAAAATGATAAGCATGTACTTTGCTTATGATAACTAAAATAAGGTCACATAATAAATGTGCTAATGACCTGTTGACATTAAAACATTAGAATCATTATTTGTGAAGATGTTGCTTTGAACTGAAGACAGTTTGTGTCTTTTTATTGACAGAAAGACATTAAGCAGGAAAGATGATACTTGCCAACAGATATTCTGCAGGTGACACATTTACTGGGTTTTTTTATTCGGGCATAAAGCCCTATAGATGGCAAAGAGATGAAAGCTATGATTATCCATTTACAAAATTTTCATTCAGGATTTTACCCTAAAATCTGCTCTGTAAACATCCACACATCAACGTGCAATTATGCACATTATTTATACAGAAACCTTCAATGAGCCCTTTATGAATGTGCCGTGTAAACACATCAAATCTTTTCCTGTCATTTTATTTTTTTAAATCTCTCTGAACCCTGTTGTGCTGTTGTCACACTGTAAATATGATCCAATGAATGACTTCAGTCGCTTTTTGTACTAAATGTCCTTTTTCAAGCAATTTTGAAAATATTCATAGAAAAGATTATAAATCACAGAAAAAGTAAAGCTGTAATCGACAAAAACATCATGATTTTACATTATTTACATTATAAACTCTGGCAGCTGTGAGATCTAAACTAGAACAACTTCAAGGGGTACCTCGGTAAATACACAACACATTCAGATTGCCAACACTTTAATGCTTTGGTCTTGTTGACATCTTTATATGTGTCGATTTATACAAAGGTTAAAATTTAACATTGCTTTATGTAGTTTACCCTTTCAGTAAGCAACATATCTCGTGTTTGCATCTCTCTCCTGCTACAAAACCCCTCAAGTAAGCCTGAACAGTGCAGCAAAGGCTAACCAGGCCAGACATCACTAAATAAAATCACCCAGAAACTCGACTGATTTTAGTCGCTGCTTTTGGCAAAACCACCGCGGGCAAATAGTTACTGCAAATAGCATCAGAGCAACTTCAAATCAGGCTGTAATGAGTTTGCGTACAGTTGGAGTTTACAATGATTTGCAGTCAGTGATCCATTTTGGAAACACTGTCAGCGTTCTCTAACGATGAATGCCTGCAGTGAAATGTGCAGGACAGCTGCTTTTAGGGACAAGGCAGTCACCCAAGAAGTCATGAACCCGCTAAGCCCAATCACTAATATAGCTCAGTGCAGCTGAATCACGTATGCTTGCTGAGACTGCAAGAAAAAAAAAATTCTACATCCCGAAATGAAAAGAATACCACTACATCCAGGATAAGGCATGTGGTGTCAGTTAAGGTAGGCATTATTTACCTCTCAGATAAACATGTTCACAGTCCAATAATTTCCACGTTTTAGATGCTAATTTCATGCAGATTTCTACTGCTGAGTCTTTACAGCACAGATATATACGCACTGATAAAATGCCATGTAATGTGATACAATTCAGTTTTAAAGTTGAGCTCTACAACCTAAAATTTCTTCATATCGCTCCAACCTTTAGCTTTAGTGTGAATATGTCATGTTTTAAAAAATCAAAACATCAGATTATTGCAAAATCAGCAGAAGCCTTTCAGCACAGCAGGTTGTAGCTCTTTGCCTGCTGTGAGTAAGTGCACAGTGATCACTGCCGTCCCAGAGGGAAATAAATGGATCCACTAATGCTAAAAAACTCTGACACTTCTCACAGGCAGGCAAACTTACGCTTGACAAGTTGTCCACATCAACCAGTTCAGTAAATGGATATCCACGTGCACGTCGAAACTAACTGAACTTACAAGACAAACACATTTAGCCTGAAAGTGGCTGCTTCCCTGCAGTTGACCGGTGCGCGGTCTCAGCATGATGAATGAATGAATGAATGAATGCAAGGCTCAGAGGTGACATCCATCCGACACTTTTTTTGTGTGCACTGGGCACAATGTACTGGACTCGATGTCATCAATTATTGCTATATGAGAGTCATTGTCCCAAAAAATTAGGTTTTCGACGATTAGATGAAGACCAAGTCTCTGTCTTGTTTAGAAATATCAAAAACAAACTGCCATCTTTACACTGTTTTATTATGGTGCCAGACATGGTTTCCAGGCATTTTATAACTCCCGCTAACCTTTACACTGCAGTCACACCCTTGGTCTTTGTGGTCATAATGTATTCTGTCATTTAATGTAACTGCTAACAACATAACCGCTGACCTCGACATGTCTGCTGAAGAGGGTGCATGTCTCCCTTTAGACCCTGATTTGACCCCAAACAGCCTGCTCACTTCTTCACTTCATACTGCTACTCAAATTCAACTTTGTGCCATATTGATTATACATGCCGAAAGAATTCATAATTCACTGTAGAGAGGAAAAAAATGCAGCGTGAATGTGGGCAAAGAAACATATACTCAGCATAGCGGAGTGTTTTTTAAGTTAGAGCATTGGGTGCCACTGGTCCTTTAATCAAATCAGTACTTCAAATATGAATTCTCATGAAATAATAATAAAATTTGCATGAGTCTTGAGCCACCACTCATTTCTTCATATTTAGCTGGGAAACCAGTGCAGGGATTTATGGACAGCATAAACTGAAATACAGTGTATAAGACAAGCTTTATTCATTCTTGTTATTTCTTTAAGTAGTCTTCAGGAATAGTTCTCCAGGCTCCCGCAAGGACATTCAAAGCTCTTCTCTGAATGCCTTTTATTCCGGTGTCCGTCAAGACGTTCCCAGTCTGCTTTAATATATTGTTCCAGTGTGCGTTTTTCTATCCTGGTATGCTTTTACTGCATAGGCACTGTGTTTGGGATCACTGTCATGCTGAAAAATGTAGCGATTGCTAATCCACGTGCTTTTCAGATGGTGGTTCAATTTTCCGTGCTCGTAATTCATCAATTCTGAGAAGATCTCCAACATCACTGCTTGAAATGCAGCCTCAACCATGGCAGCGCTCCTAAACCATCACAGTTATACCGTTTAGGTTTAGGTTCATCGCACCATCAGACCTGTTGCCACTGATTTGTGTGTAATTTCTCTAACCTCAGCCTTTTCCCACCGTTTCCCCTCAAAAATGGCTTCCTGGCAGCCAACGTGTCCACTGAGACCATTTGTGATGAGACTAGTGAGCAGTATATGGATGGAGGGCCAGATGGATCTCAAGTCCTGAAGAGACGCATCTCTTTCTAAGGACCTGACTTTTAGATACTGTTCAGCTGCTGCAGATATTTCATCCCTCGATTAAAGTGCAGTTTTTACACTTAACACTGACCTATGAGTCATTCAAGTGTCTTAACAAAGCAACAAAAGCATTGCTCTAAAATAATCAGAGGATTGAAATGAGTGAAAAAGCAGTCAATGTCCAAAGAAAAACTTTGAAAGACTTTCAGAAAGCCTGGAGAAGGTTTGCTTTAAAAGAATGAGAAGAAAATCTGGCTTCTTGGAAGCAAAAATAAAGAACTGAAGAGTGGCTCAAGAGCGCTTAAAATGTAAGTTAAGACTGGGTAATCTGGGTACTTACGAGATCTAAACTTGGATCCAAAGTGCATGTAGCAAATCCAGCCTCTCTTATCCAAGCAAGCCACAGCATGGATACATCACAGCCACAACAAGGTTGTTTTTTTTAAATATTAATGCTAATATAATGAACAAGTTTCGCTACAGCGTCCAAATTACACATTTTATAGCATCATTCCTGGTTTAACTTCTTAAAAAGAAAAAATAAATACCTGCAGAAAAATAAACACTGTAAATATTAAATGAACAAAACCAAGATCCAGATGGTGCATTTGATAATTAATACCAAGACATCAGACAATACTCACATATTTTTGTTTTTCAGCTTCAAAGTACTAGTTGTACCATTAGTTAAGCCAAAAATAGACATTGGTTCCACATTTTGGTGCGTTTCTCATTTTGTTATGTAGCCGTTACACTTTTCTCTGATTCAAGCAGTGAGCTGTTTTGATTTTACTGCCAAAGACGTCAACAATAACTTAAACACGACAACACTGCTGAGGTACACAACACTCCAGCAAACACATTTAGCACAAACATGTGTGAAGGTCCAGTTTTGAATGTAATGAATTTGTACTTTTTGGTGCCTGTGGTGAAAAAAATAATCACGTTGCAATGAATTACTGTGAAATACTTTTTGCGATCTCTTGGTACCTTTGTGTAGCTTGCATGTGACTATTTTGTGTAGTAGCATGTGTGTTCTTTTGTGTTTGTGTTCGTAAATATTGTTTATTTAATGGGACACAAATGTGGACTTTTTTAATAGAATGGAGATTGTAGGTTTTTACTGAAGGCGAGGAAGCGAACGGTGTCCTATTTTAAATTGTGAAGGGCTATTCATCAGATTATCTATTACCTCTGTGATTGTCAGCACAAAGTTTAGGCAAGGTTTATAATCAAGTTTCTAATGAAATGTCTTAATGCCTCTAATTCATGCCAATAGTGGTAAAATAACAATTTCTTGACACGTTTGTTATATATTAGGGAGACCAGAAGTTTAATGACCAGATTTAAACAGATGTGCCTCTGAAAAAGCCTGATGACATTAAAACAGACAGACCTGCGACAAATCTTAGACACTTTATTGGCTACACCTGTTCAGCTTATTAACAGAGATTTCTAAGCATCCAGGTGTGCAGACATGTTCGGTGTGACCAACTGAAGGTTGTTGGTGCCAGATGGGCTGGTCTTTTTCACCCCCCCGGATTTTCCCCACAAACCATTTCTATGGTTTACAGAGAACCTGGAAGCAGAAGGGCTACAGAAACAGAAGACCAGAGCCACTTCTGTCAGCTGAGAACAGGAAACCCAGGCTACAAACTCACCAATATTGGCTGACTGAGCCATCCATCTGCTTCTCCGGGGTAGCAGCCTAAGCAGAGAACCCCAGACCTCTCTCTCCCTGCCCACCTTGTCCGGCGGAACACCAAGGCTTTCCCAGGCCAGCCTTGGGGGGTCTGCCCCAGGGACTCCTCCAGGTGGGACATGTCCAGAACACCTCACCCACGAGGTGCCCAGGAGGCATCCTTATCAGACCTGATCCACCTCAACTGGCTCCTTTCGAGATACTTAAAGTCCTCCACTTGGAGCTTGAACTCATCCCTGACCCAGAGTGGGCACTCCACCCTTTTCCGGCTGAGAACCATGGCCTCAGATTTGGAGGTGCTGATTCTCATTTCCACCGCTTCACACTCGACCATGAACCGTTCCAGTGCGAGCTGAAAGCCATCACCCGATGAAGCCAACAGAACCACATCATCTGCGAAAAGCAGAGATGAGATTCTGAGGCCACCGAAGTGAAAGCCCTCTGACACTTGGCTGCACCTTGAGTACAACAGAATTGGTGACAAAGACCAGCCCTGCCAGAGTCCATCACCCACTGGGAAAGAGTCCGACTCGGATTCATAATATTAAGATGGAAAGGATATTTCCTTGGTCCACTTTGGGGCCATTATCACCAGCTGACCTTTGTTTAAACACCTCATGCCGACCTGTGGCAAAATGAGGTTCAGCCTAGTACTCCACGGTGTATCTAATAAAGTGGCCTAGTGACATCATTTACAAAAGAAAAAAAAAAAAAAAGGGGGGGGGGGGCATTTGTGACCTGGTGTGGCACACATGGCAATCTAACCCATGATGACTTATGCACTGCCTTATTGGAGATAATGAATAAGAGAAGCATCTTCTTACGCAGACCAGTCTGAACGTGGTCTCAAACTGGTTGCTAGTGACTTTATGGCAGCCACTTTGTGTTCTCATATGATTTGCTACCTGTGATATGACGTACTTGTAGCTTAATGCTTAGCTATGTAGACTGAGACGAACAGTCTGTGTTGTTGTTGCTGACGGGAAGGATGGTGAGACTTCGTGAGTGCAAAGCATATGCTCTGAATTCATCCCATCCTGAAAGGAGCTAGATGTGTCTTCAAGGTCCGTGAACGCTGCTCCACTGTACGACGCACACGCTGTAGTACTATTTATTTATAAAAACAAACACAGGATTACTCTGGTCTATTTTTTGATAGTGTCTTTGAGAAAAGATGCATATTTGTCCAAAATGGTTCATTATTTCTCTTTTAGTCTACAAATTTCTATTCTCCCTTTTTTTTCCTCTAATGTCGTCCAGCTGTCTAGTGAGAATTAATGTCTATGTACAGTGATCAAAAATGATCAAGTATGTTAAAATGACTCATTAACATGACCTGAAATCTATAGACGGTCACGACTTCTAATTTTTCTTGTAGTTAAATGATTTAAAATGAATTCATTTATGTGACTGCCTTAGAATAATGTGTAAATGGTGTCCAGTGAATATCGGAAAGCAATTTCCCAACTAAGCTCATTCCTGCTTTTTAAGCTAGTCTGGAATAGTGAGTGATTTTGGACAGAATCTCTGTTTAATGCTTTTCTGATTTCTTTTTGTTCTACTTTCAAAAGCTGATACTTGCCTTCCATCTCTGTTTTATATGCTCAGTGACCAGAACAATAGAGTCTCTGCTTAGTACCACCTTGAAGCACCACTGGCTCGAGGGGAGTTCAGAGACAATAAGTATTCTGGCAATGCACAAAAGCAGAAGTACAGTTCAAAATTAATATGCTCCCGAGTCTAATGGCAAACTAATTTCCTTGAACATTCCTACAACTATTCTTTGTTTATCTTCTTATAATGACAGGATAAAGTGGCTTTTCAGTGTCTACTTAGCATTAAACTGCTTAATGTGTTGAAACTAAGGCAGCTTTATATGTTCAGCACATGCCCCATTTTCTTAATTTATTATGTGCCTCTGATGTTTTGCTGCTTTTTGCAAAAATTCTGCAGGGCATGACTCAAGCTAATCATTTCCATGATTAGATGAACCAAAGCTGTGCCAAGTGAAAGCCCTCCATCTCCAGCGTTCATTCCACATTGACAGAAAACACCTTCCTTCACAGACCAGTAGTTTCATTGTTCTGATCACTGAGTGTATATTCCCTTAAGGACCCTAATTGTGTTAGTGTTGAATCAGTGGGGAAAAGTGGTGGTTGTGTGTATGCTTTTTTTTTCTGTCTTTTTTTCCTCTTTAAATCAAGTGATATTTCAACATGCCCAGACCGTGTGAGGGTGTATCTGTGTTTTTGTGAGCAACAAAACATCCAAATGGTCATGAATAAAGATAATATTGTACAAACGTCTTGTGCAAATCTGTTGCCAGCTGCACATACAGAAATTCCCATTATCATTATCCAGCCGGAACCTCAGACTGGAAGAAATGACTTCACAAATAGTGACAATGTTGCTGCAGAAATGAGTTCAAATATGAAAACGATGCTTGGCGGCCCTGCATCTGTGTCAGGAACGTTATCAGAATACAACCAGCTGAGTGAAGTCTAACCACAAAGAGATGCAGATGACTTTAGCATAGATGGAACATAAAGAGTTTTTAGATATTTGATGGCAATTATGTCTGTTGAGAGTGATTGCAATCAGTCTGAGTTGGAGCACAATGACTTGGAGGTTGCCTCCCACTAGGTGACCCGTGTAATTCCCTTGCAATTGAATGTAGGAATTTTGGCAACCAAGTGGTCACCGAGAGGTTGAGCGTGCAACCTCCTCAACCTCTGGTTAGTTGCTGCAACTACTTCAACTTAATTCAGGGAAGAAAAAATTGTTGTCTCAAGTACCAATAAGCACTATTGACAATATTTTGAAATGCACCTAGTAAATAAAATAAAGTATAGAAGAATTTGTCAATACACATAATTTAACTTAACTTCAGTTACTCTTTATATTTTATGTGCTGTATCCGAGGCTTCTAAAGGTTTCATTTTGTCTTAGGTTTCAGTGTCCATGAAAAACATCTAACATCACCAATAAAACTATACAGGTGCAAAAGATTCTATAAAAATACAAATATAATACAAAAAACACTGGCCACATTTTCTTGAGGTAATGTGAATCACTCTACAGATGCACATTTTGATGTCATACTCACAGATGATGCACTGCTTAGTTAACATTTCTTAGATAAATGAGGATACACCAGACTGAACCTAATTTAATCTTGCAGATCATCACAAGCAGCCGCTGCAATTTCGGCCATGTGAGAAAACTTCAAAGATGGACGGATGCAGGTCGACCACTCATTCAAAACTTTTTTTTCTCTGTGAAACACCATTGGTGATGATTTTAAAAAGTTCAAGTTTACAATTCAAAGTTTAAAAAACACAGCCATGTCTTGTTCATAACAAAACGAGCCACCTATTTTTAATAGTGCGAACAAACAAACCTAAAAATTGCCAAGATTATATTGAGCTACATTGTTCAAAACATTTGGAAGTTTTCCTTCAGTCTACTTGAAACAGTGCTTGGTGCATCACCTCTCCTTGTTAACAGCCTGAAAATCAACGCATCCAACAGTGTTGTAGGACTGTCCTTCAGTGCTGGCCCCCCACAGGGGCTGTGTGTTGACTTCACAGCAGTGAGGCTTACCGTGTGGGGGGAAATATATAGAGATGAAGAGATGCTGTTCAGAGAACACATCCACCTCTGAACAGAAGAAGTCACCATCGACTGTAGTAGGAAGAAAATCTTTATAGGAACCGTGTGCTGCAGATTTCTAAGTGTGCAAATAGTTTACAGCCTATTGTGGATCACTAACGCATTCTTGTAATCAGAAACGCTCAGAGCATCATCAGACAGACCAACTTTAATGGGGAACCACTGGTGTCCATCTACTACTGTTCACTGGGATACTGCTATATTACTGCAGCCCTGCAGGGATGACTGGCTGTTCCTTAGCAGACAGGGGAGTGCACTAGAAGGTCATTTCTCCACCCAGAAAATTACTGCCTGCCTTCTTCCCGTCCTTGAATTTATCCACACCATCTTGCTGCCTCAGAAGACCCAGGGATATATTACACAAAAAACATACAAAAGAAAGAAAAAGAGCATTCGGGACTTCTGCTCTCATGAAAGTGCTACAGACAAAAATCTAAACAAGAACAAATAAAAGTTTTTAATCCTGAAGTGGAGTGCAGAGACTTTTACAGAGAGGCAACCAGAGACAGTGAACGAGCTGCTGAGCCTGCACCGGTTCAACTCGCGTCTCCTCTAAATCATCAAGGCGTTCTTTGCTAATCTGCTAACAGAGTTATTCAAAGTTTCTTCACTCTGCACCCCATCTTCTCTCAAAATAGCCAAGATGCTCAGTAAGGGAAAGCGTATCTGTTGTGATGATAAATCACAGAAGCTCATCTTATACTAACGATAGTTGTGTTCTCACACAAAGCGCAACTGATCTCAGAGCAGTGAAAGCAGAGCCAGTGGCAACTTGTGTGGCATGCTAATCTCCCATCAGTCTCCACTCCACCACAAGTATGCAAAAACAAATTAGCTGAATTTGCTGGCCTCTCAGCTTGAGAAGTTCCACGTAGCATTAATAATAAGAGACAGATCGCCTGTCAAACAGCAAACCACTGGTCTAATCTCAATTATTTTTCAATGTGACCCTAAATAAAAAAAAAACAACAACCCAAAAAACCCCAAAACAAATGTGCAACATCTTTCTTGGTTTCTTTACAGAAGTATAAAATACAAACTTCGCATTAAGTGGCATTTTAAATGTTTCTGTTCTTCGCATTAATAATCTGAGGTATGCAGACAACGTCAACATCTGAAGAAAACGTGACCGGAAAACATCGTAAACGAGAAGAATGAAGAAGTGTGACTGTTCCCGAATGTGAAGACAACTGAGACACTGGTCATGTCCAAAAACACAACCCAACATGTAACATCAGACTACAAAAACTCAACAAGTTCAGTTTTTTGGGTAAGACTGTGAGCAGTGACACTAGATCGTTGCATGAAATTAAGATTCGGATTGCAGCAGCAAAGCTGGCTTTCACTGACAAGATTTTAATCAACCAACAAATTTCTTCTGAGACAAGACAGAGTTCTAGATGCATACATTACACCAGTCCTCATGCATGGAAGTGAAGTGCAGACATTTTTTTTAAAAAGTGTAAAAACCATCAGTGCAGCAGAAATGTGGTTCATCAGACTGACTAATGAGTTTTAGAAAAGAGCAAACACCCAAAGATCATTATGTAAAAAGATCTGAGGGAGTCTTTGGATGAATTATGAGAAGAGGAGGATTGTAATATGATGTCACATTGGCAAAAATGAAAGGGAAAAGAAGCGGAGGCATAAGGAGAGAAGCCATCACTGAATGAATGAAAGAGTGGATGAAGAAAACTCCAATAAGTGCTGTACTGTGTGAGAGGGCATCTCGCACAGGACCACCGGCACCATTTGGCAAGAGAAGTTTTTCTGGATCAAAATTAAGGAAACATTGTTCCTATGTATTCTGAAGCCTGTTAAAGTACTCATTAACTAGTGAGAGAGTAGTGGTTTACACATTCATCTAACAAGCAGAAGATCCCTGGTTTGATCCCAGCAGAGACACCAATACCATTACATCAGGCGTCCAAATCTGCCAAATCAAACATGTTGAGCTACTCACTGTGGCACCGTGTGATGAAGGAAATGTCCAAAAGTAATGCTCAATTTATGAAACTTCACATAAACATGTTCAGAACTTCTTCTCGCTCTTCTTCAGATACACTGTGTCTGCAGAGGAGAAGTAACATCATCTACGCCTACGCAGCGTTGCGGTTCTGTCTGTGCCACAGAGTATGCTTTACAGCAGGATACAGAATATGGACCTGAATCATGCCAGCGAAATGACACCCACAGCTCGTCAGAGCTACCAGCTACTGTTATTGTAGGCGTCACAGATAGACTGTAGGCTTTCTGTTGCCATCCACCTTTCATGCAGCGCAGCAGAATCAAAATTACAGCAAGCAGAGTTTTGCAGTTGCACAGATAAATATTCCCGTGATTGGAAGTTTTAGGGTTGTGTCTGCTTTTCAGGGAATACAGGCGACATAAAACATCGGCCTCTGGGAAACTAATGGGCAGTTTTCATGAGAGACTAAAACTAAATTGCTGAGCAATGATTTCATTTTTTTTTTAATCACATCAGGGATTTTTTCCCTCCCACTTCTCCTCATGTCAAAAAGCTTCCTGCCAGGGCGAGGTAGCAGTGAGCTTTTACACTTCAATCACCCATAACAGTCTGACGGTAACAACTTCCTTCTGCCTCAGAGTATTAAAGATTCTGTGCCACTGAGAATCCAGCGATGATTTTGACCCAGCTTTTTGAGTTGTTACCTTTTGGTTTATTTTTGAATGATGGATTATTCTTTAGGTTTCTCTGGTCTTTGTGTTTCAGTTATCTTGCTGTTATGGATTGTTTTCTCAGTCTCTTGTGGTGGTGGTGATGGATATGATGATGATAGATTATTATTAGTTTCATGTTTCTGTGTATCTGTATTTAAGGATTTGTTGTTTCATGTATAGTTCAGGTCCACGTGTCATTTTCTGTCTCTCTGTCGGGTCTGCGTCTTTGTTTAGTGTTTTCTTGTTTCCTGTTTTATTGTGAAGGTCTATGTCTTGTGTCAGTGTGTGCAGCTTTGCTCCCCCTGTCTCGTTAGTCAGGGAGACACAGCTGGGAGACACACCCCCAGCTGTGACTCCCTCCTGTTGCCCGTTCCCTGATTACCACCCTGTGTATATAGCCCTGTGTTTTCCTGCCGCACCTTCAGATTATGCCTGTGTGTTTTTCGTGTTCAGTACCATTGCTCAGTTTGTTTTGTTTTCTGCCAGCAAATAAAGCTGATTTTTTTTGAGTTACTACTCAGTGTTCGAGTCCTGCCCGCACACAGAGCCCTGACAGATGACGGCTTTACCCACCAGCGCCTGACAGCTGTCATTGACAGCAGGAGGGGAAATACAGTAAAAGCAATATGTTGTTATCATGTTCTGTCTGCACAGGCTCTGGGTGTTTGTTTCTGCCACGACATTCAGAGCTGAGCTCTACAAGCAGAGTGTCCGATTCTTCCATTAAACAGCAGTATTTCATCTGAATTTTACAAAGAAATCAGAGCGTCCACTCTTTCTGGGTTGTCCCACAACATTAGCCTCTCCCCCGAGCATCATAAAGCTGTAGTGTATTCCCATATCCCATTTGTACAAAGAAGCACTTTACTGTATTATTTTAATCAATATTTGATACAAATGCAGCATTTCTCCCTGTATTCCCACATCCCATCTGTATAGAAACT